AAAAACATGGTTTTAAGTAAAGTGTGATTTGCCAGGGGGGACGGGGATTTCCTTCTGGTCTAAACATCCCTGCTTCTGCTGAATTATTTGAATCCCCACACCCCTCCCTCCACAGTAATCAATGCTATAGGCTACTTCACCAATAGACCATATCAAATATAAAATAGAGATATGCAACAAGCACGTTTAAACAACGACAAACAATAAAATCAAAACCAGCGTTTCAGTTGTTCATTAGTTCAAGTGGCCTTAATGCATGCACGGCTTTTCAAAATTTTACAAAGCGTGTTGAGATTATTTTGAATGAAATATTGAAGTTTATAATTAAGTGTTTTGGCAGACCACGCCGAGTGGCCCTATGCATTTTTCTAAAGTCGGGTTTTATTCGAACTTTTGCTAACGACAAAAACAGTTTATCTGTCGTCTCTGTCTCCGGGAACTGCGCGTCACAAAAATGAACCGAAGCCACTTCAGCTCAGTCACTATAAGAAATCGGCTCTGTCTAAAGCCTTTAAATGTCTAAATATTCTGGCTAATAAATGTTATCTGATTATGTAATCCATATGAAAACGAGAGGTACAGAGGATGTACTCAAACATGTAGCCTGTAAGCGCTTCCCAATGAGAAAATGACAAGGGTGAAAATCTCGCTCTAATTAAATGTAGCAGGCTAAATCGCCCTGAATTAAAATGTAAAAACAGATCAAATAATGTATTTGTCGAAATGTTGCGATATTGTTTCATTTAAGTTCATAATTATTCAATACATGTTATTTAATTTAGCAGCATTACCACAAAGCACCGTGGTTCGATATTTATTTGAATAAAAAAATAAAAAATAAAAAACTTAATTTACAAATTGCATGCCTGGTTGAAAGGATCCAAAGATCCATGTAGACTTTAATATTGAGTTGAACATTTTGTTCATGAAAACAAATTAACATGCGTTTTTTTCAGATTATATTTAGTTTTGCTTGGAAAAAGCTGGCCCAAACCAGTTTTATTTCATCAATTACTGAAATAATGAAATATTTAGTAATAAACTTTTATGATAGAAATATCACTAGGCTACATGTAACTAAATCATTTAATTCCTTCATTATCAACACTGTCTAGAATAGCGATTTAAGTGTGAATTGCGACTTCTCTTTGTGTTAAGTCAGCCTCAGACTCCGATAGCCTGTGGGGGGTTGGAGGGACAGTTCAGTGCTGTATCGAGCGCGCAGGACAATAGGCATAGGTGTTAATGTTCCTCTTTCATATGGAGAGCGAGGGAGACTAAATAAACTTGTTAAAAAGAGATTCAGCGCGAGAGAGGCAAAGAAAAACGCATGTTTTAATTTAATTATGTTGCTTTGGACAATTTTCGTTTTGTAGGCCTACTGTTTTAATTGTTTAATATAGCTGTCATTTCTTTGGCAATACAAATTTAAAATGTCGCAAGAATAAGATTAGCCTAGTGTTTCTTATTTTGCATCGCAAAAGAAATAAACTCTAAACCCGATGCAACCCTGTTTTAAATTAAAAAAACTGTCCCGACACTTTATTTAAACCTTGAAATGTTCGAACTTGGTTTCAAACTTAAGTAATTTTAGTGTTCTTTTACATTACACAATAATTTAGCAGACTAAAGACGAGCTTCTTCATTTTCATTTTCTGATGCAATCGGCTGACAATCTTCCTTCATCAGTTTTTGTCGTTTGTGCAGCGGCTGCGGTTCTACAGGAATGTAGCAAATTTATGTTGTAATAATAATTAAACAAAACTCTTGACTTTAAATAAGTAAACAGTTATAAACAGTTAGCTATTTAAGCATCAAGAAGGTTAAATATAAACGCTGTTGGCCAACATCAGTTAACAACATGTATGCTACATTGAGATTCGATCTCGAGTCGATTGAAGCTCCTCGAAGCTCGTGTTGTTGCGTTAACCACTGAGCTATCGTCTGTACGTCTGTAAATGTTTTTATTGCAATGTTTTACTTTTTCATTATTTATTCAATTTCATTTCAGTAGCCTAATTTCAGTATTGTGATTATGAATTATTTTAACTATACGTTTCACTTGTTGAATTCATCTGCTACCAGCTTTCAATCGCTCTGAATCAGTGCGGTGCGGCAGCAGATTACGCATTAGAGAGAATAAACAAACTCTTTTTAGAGTCTATGATTGTAGCGCCTCTTGGCGGTAAAAGGCAGCAAATACACCACACATTTTACCGCTGCGGTGGAACGGCTGATGTGGGCATTGTCATGGCTTGCCTCAACATTTGCGTTTGAATAGCGCGCGTCCTCCGTGGGCGTGTCAGATTAACGCGTAATGAAGTGTAATGAGCTGGGGGAAAAAAATCTGACAGCACTCTCTTTTCGTACAGATTACATAAACTGAGAATATTTGTTTTTTATATAAATTACATCATTGAAAAGAAGAGAATTCAAGCTTCATAAAGAAAAATCTCTCGTGCCTGTATGACAAGTATTTGCAGAGTTAGAGTTAATTTTTCGGACGTGTTTCAGAATGGACTGCACTGACAGAAAGAAGGCAAAACTCGCATCATGTTTATTTTTCTTTATTTGACAAAAAGCACAAAACTTTGTTTTTATTGTGAGTATACAGAAAAATAATAGACAATTAACAAGATCGATTGATGTATAACACTTATATGTACGATCAAAATCAACAGAGTATTTTAAGTCTATTTTTCTGCTATGTGAAAAAAAAACGGCAAAACGCGCGGGCGCGTTTCTGGTCCCCAGAGGGTTAAAGTATGGCAACTTTCAACATTCACATAAAGGTCCATGCACAGTTTACCAAGCACAAGATGAGATATCGGACACTGAATAATAAGGCAATTGGTATACAAGGGTTATGAACTTGATAACCTGAAACTCCAGCCATGAAAGAAATTCCCTGAATTGACACGCAATGTCCACAAACGCCAATAAAGGAGTACTGGCAAAAGTGCAATTCTGGTAATGTCTCAGGTCCCAAAGCAAAAATATAGTCCACAAAAAGAAAAATAACATCCACAAATGAGGTAGTACATAAAATAAAAAATAATGAGGGTAAAAAAAAAATCCAACATGAAGAGATGTGTAGGAGCTTAATTGGAGTAAGCAGGTTTGCTTGATACAAACAATATTATTATGCTTAACAGTCTTAAACGAGTGCTGAACTAATAGTTCCTCAAGGAAAACCACAGCATGCTGAATAGCTAAACCACCATGTGACTCTTGCTCCCACAAGCCTCTCTCCCTTGTCCTTTATACCTGGAGTCCTACTCTCGATACCTGAGGAGGTTTGCCCCTACTGACTATTTTAACCCCTCCATCCGGTCCTACTTGCCCCGTTCTGTGCGAGCCTCGAACCCAGGTCTCTGGTGTGAGAGTCAGGCGCTCTAACAAAGAGGCTAGCGCCTATTGAGATCAGAGGAGTGAGGTTTAATCGCACAGCGACTACTAGCTGGCCTCCGTTACACTCACCCCCCCTAAACCTCACTCCCATCCGGGTCACGGCACCAAATGTAACCCCTCCACCCGGTCCTACTTGCCCCGTTCTGTGCGAGCCTCGAACCCAGGTCTCCGGTGTGAGAGTCAGGCGCTCTAACAAAGAGGCTAAAGACTGCAGCCCCTAGCGTCTGTTGCTACAGCGCCTATTGAGATCAGAGGAGTGAGGTTTATTTGCACAGCGACTACTAGCTGGTCTCCGTTACACTATGAAAAGAATTACAAGGAAGTAACAGAGATAGCTTGTCCAAATACCCACACTTGCGGTCTTTGTACTTGACCATTTGTCTACTTGCATGACGTATTTTCTCTATTTGGCACAAGTGTTCAAGTAAGCGTAAATACTGCAAGTGTGTGTAGAACTTTTGATTACTCGATGGGACACTTATAATCTTGCAAAAAATGCAAGTGTTTACAGTTGTATTTATTATATTTTCAATACTTTGAATTTTAAAATAAACTTCTACATATACTTAATAAACTTCTCCAGTAGTCGCTATGTAACTAACAGAAGACACAAATTTAAAATAGTTTAAAATTAGGCTAAGTGATAAAAACAGTTGTGAATGTTGTACAAAATAGGCGTACTGTCACGGTTTGGCTGATGAAGCAGACAGACGAAGCTTTAATGTACACAGACAGGTGAACAGGACCCAACAGCGTGTATAACATAGACACGGACAATAACAGGGACTGGACTGAACGGGGAGAATATATACACAGGGTAAACGAGGGAACTAACTAGACACAGGTGGATGAAGGTTAACTAACAAGAACAGGTGCAGACAAAACAGAACATAATTATATGTACACAGTTATATGTATCTAATTAATTTAAATTACAATGGAATGTTGTCCTCGACATCTTGCGATTTCGGGGCACATGAGTTCACGAACATGATGCATGATGGGATACGCTTAGCTCCGAAGCAATTCGAGATAGTGTGGGTTTAGTGTGCATTGAGGGCTCTGCACTTTGGCATTTTTAAGACATGGGACAGTCTTGTGCACTTACCTCCTGTTGTGTGCACACGCTCTCAAGTGGCCAAGACCACAAGTGTGGGTATCTGGACAAGGCAAGCAAATACCTGTTACAAGTTGGACTCTCTTTAAGTACACTTAAGTGACCTTTTATTTCACTCATTTTATGTGATCTACAAGTATTTATTGTTTTAAATATATACTTTCAAGATTTGAGGGCACATTCAAGTGCACATTCAATCAAATTAAGCAAACTTTTTTTATTATTATTATCTGTCTAAAAAACATGGGGTTATTTAAACTTCTTAAAATAAGTAAAGGAACACCAGTTTTTACACCATCCACAGAAAGTGCCAGTTCAAGGAAATCACTTGTCACTTGACTTGTGGCTTCTAGAGAATCCGTTTGTCACTACTATTACTATACTATTTTAAGTATGTGGGGAATTGAGTTCTACATGACAATAACTAGCCTGACTGTTGATGATGGTACATCTTTTCTCTGCGTCTCTTAAGGTAAAGGTCAGCGTTTGGCCAGACAGATCTTGTCACTCCAGAGGAGGAAAGAGTTTTCGGGAGTCAGTAGATTACAGAGTGATGTCAGCACATTCGGATACTTTACGGACGAGGAAAGTGACGACTCGCACATTTCCTTAGATGAAAGCTTAGTCTTCATGTTTGATGACTTGGAGAGTGACGGTAAGATGATTCTCATGGAAACACCAAGTCATTTCATTTGATGCGGGTCATTTTGTTTGCGTTGCCTTTTCAACCTCATGATATGCTGAAAAAGTTTGGATGTATTAATAATTATTGAATTATGCAGAATCAATGTTGCCATAAATTATTGCTGTTGATTAATCAATATGCATATCCTGTTATTAATTTAGTACTGTTAATTGACTCACAACAGAAAAATTACACTTACACATAATATCATTTATCTGAAAGAATGAGTGTGCTGTTCCATAGGGAGTGACGGACCTCCACATGGATTATTGCCTTTCAACGATTCGCCAGAAGAGGGCAGAAAACCTGCTTGGAGAAATCACAGTCGGCGTAGACGTGCCAATTCAGAGGTACCACATCGAACAGATGCACTTTTGGTGGGCTGGTGCTTGGATTTGAACAATCTCTGACTTAATATCTTTTGTACAGGGATGTCATCGTGAGACAGATCCAAGCATCCCTCTGTATAAGCGCTTTAACTCTCACAACACCAGAGGTACATACTGTATAACAAGCTCACGTGAACTAGTCCGACAAATGTCACCCGATCAATGTGTCTTCTGTTGTGTTAACTCTACAGGGCAGGGTTTCATGGAGAGCTCGACTCCTGGTGCAGTTCCTCCGGCCATAGACAAAGACCCCATCCGTCTGCTCGACCTATCAGGGAACGAGCTGAGCAATCTGTCCTGTTTGATGGATGTGAGCTCTCTTAAGCGACAGATCGAAAACCTTCTTCGGCTTGATCTGAGCAAAAACAGTCTATCAGAGTTTCCCAGTGTTCTCTGTCAGGTGTGTGGAAACATTTAATTAGTGTGTTGTCAAAGTTAACATGAAACGGCCCATTCTGTAATGTTTCTACAATGTATTCTATTCACAATGTTTCTGTGAACATGTTAGTTACTATCGGTTTTAGTACTATGATCTGAGGCAGAACATAAATGAAATGATGTTAAGTTCCCTTGTGAAAAAGAAGTGCACTTTAGCATACTTTTAAAAAGAGTTCATGTTATGGAAATTATATACTTTAAAAGAATACACGTAAGTGTGAACTGAATGTAATGTTTTCGGACGCTTAATTGCAATTATATAAAATGTATTATGGTCAGGGTTACTTGAAACAAAATAAACCTTAACTGAAATAAAATCAAATATTTAAAGCATTTAAACTTCCTTGATTTCAGCTAGTTGCCAAAGCAACATTTCTCATTTTCATTTAGTTTGACTTGATGTACTATCAAAGATAATACAATAACACTGATTATAGTTTAAATTTATATTACATGCAATTATCTGAATTTTAGAGAGGTTTTTGACCCACTGAAGTAGTCATAGTAAGGTTAAAGTGTACTTTATTTTCATAAAGTGAAATTTGTATGTCATGTATTTAAATATATTTGTAATTACACATTTTTTAAGGTAGTTGCAGTTTAGTACATTCAAAGTACACTCACCTAAAGGATTATTTGGAACACCTGTTCAATTTCTCATTAATGCAATTATCTAATAAACCAATCACATGGCAGTTGCTTCAATGCATTTAGTGGTCCTGGTCAAGACAATCTCCTGAACTCCAAACTGAATGTCAGAATGGGAAAGAAAGGTGATTTAAGCAATTTTGAGTGTGGCATGGTTGTTGGTGCCAGACGGGCCGGTCTGAGTATTTCACAATCTGCTCAGTTACTGGGATTTTCACGCACAACCATTTCTAGGGTTTACAAAGAATGGTGTGAAAAGGGAAACACATCCAGTATGCGGCAGTCCTGTGGGCGAAAATGCCTTGTTGATGCTAGAGGTCAGAGGAGAATGGGCCGACTGATTCAAGCTGATAGAAGAGCAACTTTGACTGAAATAACCACTCGTTACAACCGAGGTATGCAGAAAAGCATTTGTGAAGCCACAACACGCACAACCTTGAGGAGGATGGGCTACAACAGCAGAAGACCCCACCGGGTACCACTCATCTCCACTACAAATAGGAAACAGAGGCTACAATTTGCAAGAGCTCACCAAAATTGGACAGTTGAAGACTGGAAAAATGTTGCCTGGTCTGATGAGTCTCGATTTCTGTTGAGACATTCAGATGGTAGAGTCAGAATTTGGCTTAAACAGAATGAGAACATGGATCCATCATGCCTTGTTACCACTGTGCAGGCTGGTGGTGGTGGTGTAATGGTGTGGGGGATGTTTTCTTGGCACACTTTAGGCCCCTTAGTGCCAATTGGGCATCATTTAAATGCCACGGCCTACCTGAGCATTGTTTCTGACCATGTCCATCCCTTTATGGCCACCATGTACCCATCCTCTGATGGCTACTTCCAGCAGGATAATGCACCATGTCACAAAGCTCGAATCATTTCAAATTGGTTTCTTGAACATGACAATGAGTTCACTGTACTAAAATGGCCCCCACAGTCACCAGATCTCAACCCAATAGAGCATCTTTGGGATGTGGTGGAACGGGAGCTTTGTGAGAATGCTTTCAGCACCTTGTTGAATCAATGCCACGTAGAATTAAGGCAGTTCTGAAGGCGAAAGGGGGTCAAACACAGTATTAGTGTGGTGTTCCTAATAATCCTTTAGGTGAGTTGAAATGTAATCAAATAACACACTACAATTAAAATCAAGTGTATGTGCTTTAGATTGTTAGTCAATTACATAAAAAAATAAATATATTTCTTTAAAGCACACACAATTTTTTTATCATAATGATTTAAAATGTAATTTACAGTAAAGCTGTCAAAAGTTGCCGTGCAAACAGTCTTAAAGGGGTCATATAATGCCATTTTTGTACAAGCTAATATGATTCTTTAGGGTCTAAATTAAAAGTTTGTAATATACTTTAATTAAAAATTCTCATTAGTATTGTAAGAAAACACTTATTTTACCTGGTCAAAAACAGCTCTGTTTTCAGCACGCCGTTTCAGTGCATATGACTTTAAATGATTATGAGCTTTGCTGACTCCGCCCCTCTGTTCTATGCGTACACCAGAGCTCTGGCGTACACCATTTGTAACTCAATAACCATAACGCGTTGTTCAGTATAAACGTGGGATTATGAATTATATTGAGAACGTCATACATAGAAAACATGCCGTAATGTACCCTGAGTGTAAACCTTAGACGCATTCATTGTGAAGCGTGCAGCTAGCGATTTGCAAAGATTAATATATTAATATAAAGTTTAATAAAACGTTACACTCACTTCCGTTCTTCTGGAGATTCAGCAGGAACACGAATAGCTGGTAGCAGCTACCGATCCATTTTTCATGAGCAGCAGCTTAGCAAGTCCAGCTTTATACTGTTCCTCGTCTATAAAGCAGTCTGGTGAGAAATGATTCGCGCAAACATGAACGCATTGACGTTGCTCGTGGGGAATATTCCCTTCGAAAACAAACTCAGCCACTGCGTCTTCAGCGGTTCGGATTTAGGAACATTAAAATGACTGTGTTCGTTATTACACCCAAGAACAGACCACCACAATCGCTTAGACGCCATTCTGCTCATAGACAGTGCTCCAGCATATCAACAATGACCGCGCCGGTCCGCGCAGACTATGATTGACAGCTCTCTCATGGAGCTGATCTCACCCGCGAGGGCGGGTCTGTGTTGAGACGGTCCTGTCAATCAACAATCGTGGGAGGGGCTTCCGAGCGTGTGACGTCACACGGTCGAACGGCTCGATTTGAGGCAGGGGAAAACATATAAGGAGATTAAAACATAACCACTGGATGGATTTTTATCATTATATGATGGTTGTGTACAGACACTGCCAACACACATTTCAGTACAATCAACTTGTAAAAGTGCATGCACCATTATATGACCCCTTTACATAATAAATCCACAAAGGGAAGTTGGGAACACGTAAAATAACACCAGGAACAAGATAATACACAACCACGTAAACTGAAACAACATGGAACACTAAAACAGAAATACAAACACATATATATATATATGTATACTTTTAAGATTTGAAGTACACTACAAGTGCACATTCAGTACAAATAAGTGCATTTCTTTTTACAAGAGTTATTAACTATAACTAGTCATTACATTTTCTACTAGCATAACAGTGGCCCAGTTGTAATATTATAATTGTATAAATTGCATATATAAAATAGTTATTTTCTTTTCCTTAGAGTTTAAGAAGTCTAACCCGTCTAGATCTCCAAGGGAACCAGTTGCAGTCTCTTCCCGGAGAACTCCTGCGTTTGCCGGCTCTGAGCGTGCTCAATGTGTCACACAACTGCATCGGTCCACATCTGCTGCTGGACCCAGCTGTGTGCAGTCCATCCTTACGCCAGCTCAACCTGTCCTTCAACCAGATCACCGTCTTCCCCTTCCAGCTGGGCCAGGCCACGGGCAGACTGGAGGAGCTCTCGCTGGAGGGGTGTGTAATGGGCTGATGGTTGTTCTCGAGGGCTGGGGTGCTGTCATTCCTTTCATTTGTTCTTCTGATCATTTTTGGGGCTATACATAAGTCTTTGCACAAATCAACAGTAAACTATGTTTTCCCCCCAGCAATCAGATATCAGAGCTGTCTCTCCCTCTCTGTCTGGCTGAATTGAAAGTTTTAGATGTCAGTAAGAATCAGGTTAAAATGGTTTCAGACAACTTCCTCACTGAATGTCTCAAGATGGAAACTTTCACCGCTTCTGTTAACCAAATCAGTAAGTCTGCCAACTCTTCACAGCAAACATGAATCAAAATTCCTGATTTTACGGTTTCATCTAAATATATTAACTTGAAGAATATCTTATTGGCTATGCTGCATGAGCTATTGGCTAACTTCTATTTAGTAATTGTTTTAGACCAGTGTTATTTTACAGTTATTTATATGCTATTATAGTATTTATTGATATTTTTAATCACCTTTTTGCATTTTCAGTGTTCTTTTTTGTCATTTATCAGTTTTATTGCTTTTTTTATATCTCTATATAATTTAATTAATTTTGTTTTAGTAATTTTACTACTTCAACTTCATAAACTTTATTTCAGTTAGTTGCCAAGACAACATTGCTAAATTGCTAAAGTTATTCATTAAATACTTGTATTTTATGTCTTCTTTATTTCATTAACGTAAAACAATGTTTAATACATTTAGTTTTAGTTAACAATAAAAACACCTGTTTTAGGATACTGTTGTGAATAATGCAGCCTTTCTAAAATCTTAACAATAGTTTACGCTGTAATTTAATGCCAGTTAACATTGCTATAATACACATTAACACATATAGTTACAGCATTAATAACAGCCGCCACAAATGATATTGGGTGCTTTTCACCATCCAATCAATTCACATTGGATAAAATCAAATATATCACTTTACACATTTTAAATGTTGTTTCATGAAAACTAAGATGGAAAATCGTGTTCTGTTTATTGTTTCTGTTGTTATTAACAGTCTTGTTTTCATACAGGTTCGTTGTCACACCTTCCCTCAAAGATAACCACAATTAAATTATCAATGAACAATTTTACAAGTGTTCCTGAAATAATCATGAACTTGCCATAGTAAGTGTGTTTTCTCTCTCTCAAATTTACTTAATAATAACAATACATACTTCTGATTTACAAACAGCACCTGTGATATGCTTTATACATTTTATAATGTAAAAATAATAACAGTATGTGCAGTTCTACAGATGGTGGCACCAGCACCTGATTTGGCAGCGCTGGGGGGATTTTTAATCATAAAGTTAATTTAATCCTAAAATTACTAAAAAATAAGTGCAGTTACTAATAATATTGTATTTTTGTTTATTGGACATTTGACAGTAAAGCACTGAGCTTTAATTGAGCTGTAGATAAAATTATTATACTTTATTAACAACAGTAACTTGCGAAAACCTCTAAATCCTCCAAAATGTTCTACTCTTATTAAATGTAGCAGTTTTCTTCCATAAGATCATGCTGAACTGACCGGCTGCTTCAGTGATTATAAAAGAAGCGCTCTTTACTTGCTTTGTGTGTAATTCAGTCACAGTTTGACGAAAAGTGTTTGGTTTTCATGAGACTTTGTGACGACTTGTTTTCCAAATATTAGCGAGTGGATAAGTCAATAAGTTCTCCTCTGCCAACATCTACTGGTTAGAGGAAATCTCATGTCTTTTTTTAAATAAAAGTGTTGTTTTTTTTGCTATGAAGTGGTAGTTTGCTTGCTACAAAGTGTTAGTGTTCTTACACCTTTAAACTTTTCGTTTTACAAATCATTACATAAAAAAAAAAAAAAAAAAACATTTCGAACTTTGAAGAGCTGGAAACGTGTGAAGCGCTTGAAAGCCCTTGAAAATTGCTTGAATTTCACTTTCAAATGTTGTACAAACCCTGAGATGAATAAAAATAAACATTCTGCCACAATACCATGGTTACAGTTAGCGTTACACATTTTTGTAAACTAAGATTTAACATTATGCTTTACAATCTAACATGAGACAGTTTTGCTCGAACAGTGTCTCAACAGATTGTGCACTGAAATTACTGACAGAAATTCCTAATCAATCATCACCTCTCCTAAAGTCTTAATAAGTGTATCATTTGCACTCTGGCTAAAGATGCTGCTAATAAAGCCTTACTTGTTTTGAACTTGAAGGTTCCTTTTTATATCGTTTTATCACTCTCTTTTAACACGTCTCTTTGTCTGGTAGTTTGCGTTCGGTGGACATGAGAAAGAACAGCATTAGTGTTCTTCTGGGTCCAGCTTTGTGGGTCAGTGTAAACCTGAGAGAGCTGATGTTCAGTCATAATCACATCTCCACACTCGACCTGAGCGGCCCGGTGTACAAGTGGGCCCGACTTGAGAAACTCCATTTGAGCTCCAACAAACTCACTGAGGTACGATTCACACTACACTCTGATTCAATGAAACACTGTGGTTGTGTTCTGTCTTTGTGCCTGGAAGGGTTTAATTGTTATAAAATAATGAGAAGTTAGTGTTTTGTGCTTTTGTTCTTTAGATCCCTCCTCAGATTGGTATGTTGGAGGACCTGACGTCTCTAGATGTCAGTCAGAATGAAGGTTTGCGCTCTTTCCCTGATGAGATGGGAAAGCTGGTTCATTTATGGGATCTCCCTCTTGACGGACTGCAGCTCCAGCTGGACCTCAAACACATCGGAAGCAAAACCAAAGACATCATCAGGTCTACGTCTAAGCATGTCTCATTTAGATATTGTCCCTTTAAAGTAAAAGACTTCATGTTGTTTGTAATTGAGCTTTTATATACATCAGTGACCATATCTGTATTGTTTAGAATTGATGATTGCCATTTTATTTTGTTTTTATTTGTTTGTTTTGTTTTGTCGGTATTGGCAGATGATAATATAAGATCTTATTTTTCATACAGTATATTCTTCTTCTTATGAATTTGATTATATTTGATTATGAATTTGATTATATACAGTATATTCTTCTTCTTATGAATATGAATTTGAAATGAACTTCTTCTTATGAATTTACTTAAACCACTGCATGTAAACTCCTGGATTTGCATTATCGTGTGTTTAGCATTCAATTATTTTTTTATAGTGCAGTTTTATAATATTACCTATTAAGTTTAAAGACAACATGAAATTAAAATTGTAGTCCTTGTCTATTCCTAACATGTGTGCTTCTAAAAGTTGATTAAATAAACTTTTAGCAGTAATACACTTTTTAAAATCTTTTAGTATTTCTCTTCTGGGAAAAAGGGCAAAACATTTTGAGGACTCATCTTGCACTAAGGGGCATCTTCAATTTTGTTGCCCAATAGAATGGTCGTTCTATTGGGTAACTAATTACAAATTCCATCTGCCTCTAAATAGCAATACCGTGACTGCTGTGGTTCTTACAGGTTCTTGCAGCAGCGTCTGAAGAAAGCTGTCCCATATTACCGCATGAAGCTCATTGTGGTGGGCAGCCCGTGTAGCGGGAAGAGCTCTTTGATTCAGCAGCTGATGAGACTCAAGCGCTCTCAGTGGCGATCTGATCAGCACACCATCGGCGTCAGCGTCCGAAACTGGGCCGTCAGGAACAAAGAAAAGAGGAACATGCAGCTGAATGTTTGGGAGTTATCTGGTGAGCATCTACACAATGGGTCTCATTCATGAAACATTCGTAAATATAGGAGTAAATATGCGAGTGATTTGCGCGTAGAGACCTTCCCGAAAACTCTTCTCCTGATTCACAAATACTTCGTAAACGTCAGATGTGATAGTGAAATGTGTGTGTGTGTTAATGAATTCCAATCAGTCGTAAATGGGATGCGCGTGCACGTTCATTCTCAATTACCATAAATCCCGCCCATTAAATCCGACTGACACCTACACTCACCGGCCACTTTATTAGGTACCCCATGCTAGTAACGGGTTGGACCCCCTTTTGCCTTCAGAACTGCCTCAATTCTTCGTGGCATAGATTCACCAAGGTGCTGGAAGCATTCCTCAGGGAGTTTGGTCCATATTGACATGATGGCATCACACAGTTGCCGCAGATTTGTCGGCTGCACATCCATGATGCGAATCTCCCGTTCCACCACATCCCAAAGATGCTCTATTGGGTTGAGATCTGGTGACTGTGGAGGCCATTTTAGTACAGTGAACTCATTGTCATGTTCAAGAAACCAATTTGAAATGATTAGAGCTTTGTGACATGGTGGAAGTAGCCATCAGAGGATGGGTACATGGTGGCCATAAAGGGATGGACATGGTCAGAAACAATGCTCAGGTAGGCCGTGGCATTTAAACGATGCCCAATTGGCACTAAGGGGCCTAAAGTGTGCCAGGAAAACATCCCCCACACCATTACACCACCACCACCAGCCTGCACAGTGGTAACAAGGCATGATGGTTCCATGTTCTCATTCTGTTTACGCCAAATTCTGACTCTAACATCTGAATGTCTCAACAGAAATCGAGACTCATCAGACCAGGCAACCTTTTTCCAGTCTTCAACTGTTCAATTTTGGTGAGCTCTTGCAAATTGTAGCCTCTTTTTCCTATTTGTAGTGGAGATGAGTGGTACCCGGTGGAGTCTTCTGCTGTTGTAGCCCATCCGCCTCAAGGTTGTGCGTGTTGTGGCTTCACAAATGCTTTGCTGCATACCTCGGTTGTAACGAGTGGTTATTTCAGTCACTGTTGCCCTTCTATCAGCTCGAACCAGTCCGGCCATTCTCCTCTGACCTCTGGCATCAACAAGGCATTTCCGCCCACAGAACTGCCGCTCACTGGATGTTTTTTCTTTTTCGGACCATTCTCTGTAAACCCTAGAGATGGTTGTGCGTGAAAATCCCAGTAGATTAGCAGTTTCTGAAATACTCAGACCAGCCCTTCTGGCACCAACAATCATGCCACGTTCAAAGTCACTCAAATCAACTTTCTTCCCCATACTGATGCTCGGTTTGAACTGCAGGAGATTGTCTTGACCATGTCTACATGCCTAAATGCACTGAGTTGCCGCCATGTGATTGGCTGCTTAGAAATTAAGTGTTAACGAGCAGTTGGACAGGTGTACCTAATAAAGTGGCCGGTGAGTGTATATGGGCATCATATTATGACATGAATGCGAATGAAAAAAAAAAAAATTCTCAGATGCAGAAATTGAAGTTTTATTATCAGAAGTTCATTCAAAACGCCACGTTTTATTTTCAAGCGTACATAGTGGCGTATCGGGTCCTAAAAAAAAGGAAGCTTGGCAGCGTATTACAGATGCAGTTAATGGAGTTTCACCTGTTAATCGAACATTCCCAGAAGTGAGAAGAAAATGGTTCGACATTAAGCTTGAGAGCAAAAAACGAATTAGTTCACTTCGGAAAAATAGTATTTAAACTGGAGAAGGACCACCATCGCAGATGCTATTACTGGCTCTCATAATAAGAAAAAAACGTATGTAATTACTATATATAATATTTTTTCAAAATGCTGTGCAAATATGTACCCGATTAAGGTGAATTAAAATGCAGCCTTATTAATGAGCAAAACGTTCGGGTGTTAAGCGCACTATTTACTCGTGGCTGGAGCAGGTGTAGATTTCTTGTGTACCAACTAACATTTGGAAAATACAAACATTTTAATGAATCCGAAAATTTACGCCAGAACCACTTTACACACGATTTACACAAAAATTCGTTCTGCTCGTGTTTGATGAATGAGACCCAATGCTTGCAACAAATCAATTGTGGGAAAATATCATTAGGAAATTGCAGATTTTCATCTTTCTGTGTTTGTGCAGGTGCTGAAGAATGCAGTGGCTTTCACCCTCACTTTATGAGCTCCAGGGCTCTCTATCTAGTGCTGTATGACCTGAAGAAAGGACCCAGTGAGATAGACACCATAAAACCCTGGCTCTTTAACATTAGAGTAAGTTTAAACTTTTACTCCTTCCAGCAAGCACAGAATGCTTTCACAACATTTTTTACATCATGTATATGTACATTATTATGTACATTATGTCATGACTCGTGGCACATTTAACTACATTTAGTAGATTAGAGCTGTGCTATTGATATAGTTTATGTATATTATATATATTTATATATTTTTGCATTTCATAATTACTTGATTTTCAAGCGCTTACAGACAGAACAGTCCCTGAAGACGAAAAGGTGATTGTCATGTTTGCAAGGCGCCCTTTTATACTTCCAGGTTGCACGTTAATGAAGTCAGCGGCTGTCGCCGGTCAATGAGATTGCTGTGATTTGATAGTGATTTCAGACACCTGTCCCGCCTGAGGCGTTCCCTAAAGCGTCAATCGACCCAGTGCGAAAGGGAACACCACTCTGAAACGTCCTGTGAAATTCGTGCTTGCAAAGTCCATGCATGAACTCCATTCTGGACGATCCTCTTGTTTGTTAACATTTTTAAATCTGAATCAGGCTTGCATTGGTTTGAAATTAACGCCATCCTTAATATTTTCATATGAGTAGTAGGTAAGGGGTGTGACATTTCCCGAATACGCGTCAAGTGGTGCCAATCACAACATACTGGGCCAGCAAACCAATCACAGCACATTTCATATTTCGAAAGGAGGAGCTTATTCAAAACATTGTTCACAGTCTTGGAGAGAGTGGTACTGTAATAATGTAAAATATGTGAAAAATAATGTGTTTTTTGAACAATCAAACATGAGTAGTGTTAACATAAACCATGTGTCACTTTTTGACTGATTTATGACCCTATGTTGGTACAGAGTTGTGTGCCTGTCAACTGTCGTAGTGTTCTTGTATCAAGAAAACAGTGTTTCTGATTTACGGTGGTAGCTGACAGGCTCCTGTATGTCTAGGAAGTTTGGAGCCGTGTGACATCCTCCTTTGGTGAGATCCGGGAAACTTTTAAAAGACAAAAAAACCTTTTGTTTGATTTTATGACCATCTTTTGGTAGATTTAGGCACCCCTTGTCACTCATGATTGACAGAGACTCCATGTGTCAACAAAAATCTGGGCTCCTTCCAGTCAGCTGGGGGGAAACTTTTGCTGATTGTATTTTCCTTTGATTGTTGGGGGTGAAATTCACCCAAGCAGGTATCACGTAATGGTGGCACCCTGAGTGTTGAAAACCTTTGTTGTAAGGTAGCCTATATGTTAATTGAGTCAAAACATTTAAGTCAAGGCATTCAGGAATACCATTAGCCCTACGTGTGTGTGTGTGTGTGTGTGTGTGTGTGTGTGTGTGTGTGTGTGTGTGTGTGTGTGTGTGTGTGTGTGTGTGTGTGTGTGTGTGTGTGTGTGTGTGTGTGTGTGTGTGCCACAGTAGGATGTAGTACCTGAACTATAGGTTTATGTTACTTAAGACAAAGAATCAAAACATTTTTCTAAAATCACAGTTAAGGTGTTTACAAGTGGAACTGGCGGGGGAAGAGAGCAACCTAAATGGGGTTTGTTAATGGTTTTACGACAGTTGCTTAGGCTGGATGTTTAAAGAATGACACTTCATCAAAAGCTTTTCTGGTGATTCTCTGGGCTCGCACACAAAAAACATTTTTAGTGTATATCAATTTTTGTTATTTTAGTATTTTTTAAAGAAAATGTTTTAGTTTTTACCCCAACCCATAGTGTATGTGTGTGTGTGTGTGTGTGTGTGTGTGTGTGTGTGTGTGTGTGTGTGTGTGTGTGTGTGTGTGTGTGTGTGTGTGTGTGTGTGTGTGTGTGTGTGTGTGTGTGTGTGTGTGTGTGTGTGTGTTGCAAAACAACAACAGATTTACATATTTTACTTCAAACTAAGAGATTTTAAATGTTCAGACATTTATACATTTGTTTGCCACAAAAAGCAAGGAAAGTTGTCTATTTTCTTTAAATAAAACTTTTACTTTATTGTATTCTTTAAAACAGACTGATAACCAGCAACTGGTATTAGAACTGTAGCCGAGCAGTTTCCTCACACGAGTAAAACACAATTTTCGCTAGAAAATGTATGACTGAACCTTTTTCTTTTGACAAACCTACATTTCAAATTATACCTGAGGTGTGTAACAACCACACATTGATTCCTAAGATCCGGGGCACAGTGCAAACAAGCAAAAGTCAAGAAATCAAATCTTAGTGTAATCTCTGTGAGGTCAGAAAACAAAACTTTACGTTGAGTGATCCAGATAAATCTTTATGCTACAAAACATCATAGAAGACACTTGCACTTTAAACATCCAGCACAAAATTAAAGAGATGAGCTCTATTACACATCCTCCAAAAATGTGTGTGTGTGTGTGTGTGTGTGTGTGTGTGTGTGTAAATAGTACTGCTAAACTCTTTGTGTGTATTTTTACACGCTAACAATGTGTGTGTGTGTGTGTGTGTAAATAGTACTGCTAAACTCTTTGTGCGTATTTTTACACGCTAACATATTTTGACAGGGGGTATTTCACACCGCAGTGATACATAGTTTTCACACTCTTGAATAACTTTCAAACATAATCTTTATATAGTTACTGTATGTGTGTCCAAAAACATCTGTAAGATTCAAAAGACCAAATCAGTAAGAAAAGAGGGCACAGCATACATTGAAAAGCAAGATTTATAATAAATACACAAAATCCATTTGTGAACAAATGTGAAAGTTGGTACATTTTGTTTTGTAAGTAGTGTTTTTATCACTCCACTAGTGTTATTCGTCTTATTCAGATATTTTGTTAAAATATTTTGTTTGTTGGACTCTTCTTTAAGAACTGTCAACATTCAGTGTTTATAGGAATAAATGTAAATTAAGAATTTAAGTGATAGTATTTCTGCTTGAGAGTGTTTGACTAAATTGATATTTCTTGCAATGCAACTTTACAGCTATCTATGATTTCAGTTTACACAAAGCATCAACACGAAAAATAAGTTATGCTTTTAGTTTAAGTTTTACACTTAATCTGTTACAACTGAATCGCATCTGACTATTGCACTGAGAGCTATACATTGATTCATTTCATCAACTTTAATAATGGTAAATAATGTTCCACACTCTGGCAAAATGAAAAGAAATAATGAAGTGTGCATATATCACCATGTAAATTCAAGACCCCAAATCACTAAGAAAATAAATTACGCCATACAGACATTGTTTATGATGCATACATAGAAAACTCAAATGTTGAGCAATTTGTACTTTTGTTTCATGTTTTGTAAATATGGTTTTGCAAAGGCTTTTTTATCGCACCACTAGACATAGTCATCTTGTTGAGATGACACTGTTCACATTTCTTTCTTTTTTTTTGTTTTTGTTTTAGGTGAAGACAGAAACGATGTAAGTTTATGCTGTTCCGCACATGGGAAAACATGTGTGATGAACGCATGGCTTACATTTAAGAGGCTTTTTTTTTTTTTTTTTTTTTTTATAAATGACTGAACTTTCTCCTTTTGACAAAACCAGTATTTCATATTATATTATACTTAATATTATATTAAGTTGCTCAACGTCCCGCTTAGCATTAAAGATTAGTTTGTTTTTAATTGGTATCATCACCTTCTTTGACTCAAATAAAGTTACTATATGTGCTATAAATCTTCGTAATTTTTTTTTTTTGCTCTTCCGACAGATTTGTTAGAGGAACTATATGCCACAGTATTGTAATGCAAACACATTAAGAACAATAAAGTTACAGGTCCTTGTAAAGACTATGAGTAAAATTCAAACAATCGTTATACAGGATTTATGTTTGTACAAAAGGAAATACAAGAGGTAAATTTACTTCAACCGTGTGTACGGGGTATAAGAGGGTTGAAAAGCTGTTTATAATAAACACACATAAGTGTGCAAATGACGGTTCTATTACGCCGATAGATTTAGTCATCTTGTTCAGACAGCAGATGATACTGTTTCACAGTATGTATGTAGGACTGTATGTTTTTAGGTGAAGACTTTTCTTAAAGAGCTGTCAACATTCTGCGTTTTATAGGAATAAATGACAATTCATTTAAGTAATAGTCTTTCTGTTTGAGCATATTTGACTAAGCTGATACTTTGTTTAGGTCAACTTCCCCCATCTATCTATGATGTGGTCTATATATGCTGTTTTACACTTAAAACCATACGGCAAAGTCACATTTGACTATTGCACTGAGAGATGCGTATTCATTAAAGCATGAGGTTTGTTAAACAAAGTTCCACACTTTGGTAAATCCTGCAGATAAAATTGCACAAAAGCAAATTCTAGAGGTCAAATTGCAAAAAAAAAAAAAAAAAGTAAATACAACATGAGCCATTTAAAACAGATACAGAAACCCTCTCTTCCGATCTATTGCTAAAGTTTAAGAATAAAATGCTGTTTAAGAACAGCATAAGAAAATTACACATTTAAACCGATATTATTTTAGGTCTGTCTACGAAGAGGTCACAAGACATATAATAGGACCAACATGAAAAGTGAGACTTGATGTTTTTATGTTACATACATACAACTGTTACACTTAAAACAAAACCTATCGATTAGCTATATTATGAGTCAAGGTGTCACAGACACACAATTCGTCATGTTTGTCTTCACAATCGGGGATTCTTTAAGAAAAACAGTGTGTGTGTCAGGTTGAGTGCAGGTAGCTGAAGACGAGGACAGAAGGTTCTGCAGTATAGTTGATTTATTTACAAAACTTAACTTCAGGAACATACAGGAACAAAATAACAAACTCTAGAACTTCAGTAATACAAACACACACAACCATACACGGACGACGACCAACAAACACTGAGGGAAAACACAGGGCTTAAATGAACAGGGACTAATGGGATAACAAACTGAACACAGGTGAAGAAACTGAACACAAACGAGGAGCGGGAAAAACTAACAGGACTGAACCAAAATCAAAGACAGGGGGAAAACAAGATCACAGAACATAACTAAACACATAGAAAACGTGACAATGTGTCCATCATCAGTGTATACCAA